TCTAACCTTCATTGACAATGAGAAAGCGTTTGACAGCGTAGAGTAATGCCATATTGTCAGCTCTCATCGACCAAGGGGTGGACCCATCTTACGTGAGGACATTGGCCGACTGCTACAGTGCTTGCTCTACAACGCTACAGCTTTTCCATTGTCCCCTTAACATAACAATCTTGAATGGGGTTCGACAAGGCGACACCGTATCGCCAAAGTTGTTTACCGCCGCGATGAATGGGTGATGAAATCACTGAATTGGAACGAGAGAGGTATACGAGTTGATGGGAGATTCCTCTCAAACCTTCGTTTTGCGGACGACATTATTCTCACCTCGCGATATCACTGAAGCGGAGACGATGTTGAAGGAACTAAACGAAGTAGGGAATCGGATAGGACTGCAAATCAACCGGAAGAAGACTCAGTTCATGAAGAACGCTTTTCGCAAGGATCAGGAAATGGACTTAGAATAGAATTAGGCTTTCCAACTGCGGAGACATCTTATGTATATCTCGGGCGTTCGATGAACATGGAGAACGATCTGAAGGAGTAACTAAACAGAAGGCAAAAAGCAGCTTGGGCCAAAGAAGGCCACAGACCAGCTGACGGACCCAGAGCTCTGAGGCCACCACGATTCATCTGTTCTCCCTGCGCTCTGATACGCAGCAGAGACGTGGTCTGACACTGTGACTACGTCAAAGGCTCTTTCAAACAACCCACAGAGTGCTGGAACGACGTTTTCTGAAGTATAACCGACGCACTTAACATCTCGTCGGCCTTCGCAGTTCAAATTTCAGATCAAGTCTCGTCTTCGTGATCCAGCGGAATACGTTTCAAAGGCAAAGCATCGATGGGCTGGTCATATAAGAAGGACAGATGACAGGTGGACACTAAGAACTGTGGAATGGATTCCTTGCGAAGCAAAACGTTCTTGAGGTAGGCCATCGACCAGATGGGCTGACGTTTTGCACTGATGGACCAGCTGAATTCTCATTTGGTAACGGAAATGGATCTGGACCCCGCGAACGTCGCCAGAAGTTCAATACCAACATCGTGGATAACGCGAGAGACAGCGGATGGAAACAGTGCTGTAGCCCGTACGACAAGTGAAGAAAGGCCATCTAAGTAACGTAACTAAGTAACTAAAGATATTTATGAAACTATGTCTGTTCAAAAGAAATCGAGGTAAACATCCTGTAAAACCAAAGCAGAAGATAATAACACTCACAAACAGGTCAACTGAATTTTTTTCGGAATTTTAATTTCTGCTTAGAGGAATTTATTCCACAGAAAGGAATAGGTGCGAGTAATTTCCTAATGCCATATTTTGTCAGTAGTCTGCTATCTTCATTAAAATACAAGTAACCATTTCTTCTCCTTTTGAAGGGGAAAAGGACAGCTGTAGACACGGTTATGCATCCCAATTCAACACAAAAAGCGTTATTGCAGATTACTTCGAGCCAAACACACTTTTTCCAATTCTTCCAACGCTTTCAAATTGAGAATTTAGTCGTTTAAAATTAATTCAGTAAACTCTAGTGAAAACTTACATCATCAGATGGTCCGTAAAAGTATATCTGTCTTTTCGGGAGATCCTTCATGGACTGCATACGGTAGTACGCGTAACACTTCTCGTAGATATCATTTTCCATAAGTGATAAAACCCATATCAACCCGCTGAAAAAGAGGAACTGGTATCCACATACATTAATAAATATACATATGTATATGAAATAACAAAATATATTTCTGTCCAAAAAACTGTGAAAACTCTTGTAGAAACATTTAAATTACGAATGATAAAGAATTTTTCAAGGCTTATTTAGAGTAATGCAAATGAATCGATAGTTTGAAATACAATTATGAAAAATACAACTTGGAGACATTTCACAGCTTCTAAGTCTAATTTTTACAATTTGCTTAATATTCTTCATTCTGAATACTTGTAACCTGAGAATTAAAAAATTATAAGTTT